AGTGTGCAAAATATCCTCAGTCCAATACAAACTTCTCCAAAAATGCTCTGTAATTGCATCCTGTATAGCAGTGGTTCCCAAACGTATTTAGCCGCGCACCCCCTTCTATGTCCCGACCATGTCGACGCACCCCCCTCCCCCCACATCAGGGCATGGCTCTATATATATATATATCAGATGTCAAGCTAAACAGACAGGGTTAAAAAAAATTCCCCATCACTTTCATTTTTTAAATAGTAATTAATAAACATTCGATACCAATACAATTTCCTTTGATTTGATTTTAAATAATTATTTAGAGTGCCCAGGTAGCACATAAACAATGCAATTTAACGGTTTTCTTAAAGTAGGAACGTTTAACCTGTGCGGCCAGAGCGCTCTCCTTCCTTCTGCTCTGCTTAAACCCGAGCTGATCACCTACTTGTGCGTAATCAAATGTCAATAGGGGACAAGATATAGCCATGAGGTTCACTTTTACCTCAGACCGACTTATTGCTGTTTTATGGTGTGGCTGAATCTGTGATCCGCTGCCACGCTGACTGGAATAACACATGCTGCAGTAACAGGACTTGTGGTCAGGTTCATGAGGAGTCACTGGCTGGAGCGGACCCGACTCATCCCAGAAGCTAATATCTTAATTTGACCTTGAATGAAAAATAACCTCTTAAAAGTTTTTATCACGGTGGAGGCAGCGTTCATTTCTGCCTTCAGTCTGACGGCGCGCCGGAGTTAAAGCAGCGTGCGCGCTTATTGAATCTGTGTGTGTGTGCGCGCGCACGCGCGTGCGGCACAGCCGCTCAAGTCACCGCGTCTCGTTATTGGCGCTATTTAAACCAATGTTGTAAAATTACTTCTGCCCAGCCCAGATGTGCTCACATGTGCACCCGTGAGCCGTGGTTCAGCTGGAACGCGTCTGACCTCTGACAGACGCACTCAGAACTTCAGATCTTCAGCGCGCAGTTAATAGCCTGAATGGGAATCATTTCTTGTTATTTAGTTACATCCACAATGTTCTGTGTGTGAGGTTTACAATGTCAGAACACCTGCATGAGACAGGGTGTAAATTACAATCTGCCAGAATGACTCGCCACCTTCAGATTTCTCCAACACCGTTAAAAATGATCAAATACGGAACATATCGGCGTGCGCAGGTCAGAGTGCTGAAGCTCTGCGCATTGTTATTATGAAGCTAGGGCACATGTGGAGGACACACGCGCAAAAATATACTTGTTTTCAATTACATTTATTGTGCCCACTTACTTTTTCTTAGGTCCACCCACAAATGAGTTTCTGGCTACGCTAATGGTGACATTTGACAGACTTCTCTGAGCTCCGCAGCCATTACACTTTTCACCTCCTGCACCCCCTAGCGGCAGCTCGCGCACCCCTGGGGGTGCGCGCACCACATTTTGGGAATCCCTGCTGTATAGCATTAAGCAGCTCAAGAGGAGACCGAATGTGTGGAAATGTGGCACCATATATTGTTCTCAGGTGTAGCATCTCATTCTCAAATTCAGCTGTGAGATCCTTGTAATATTTTCTCATCAGTGCCTGGCATGATATCTTCATCTGCTCTTCAGTCATGTCCGTCATGGTTCATGATGTTAAGCTTTGCTGATATGTATTGATATATTAAATACATATGACATGAAATAAACCAGGTTCTCTCTGTGAATGTAATGTACTCTAAATTTTATAATCCCTGCATTATCAGCCAAATTATAAGATTGTCCGTTTTCAAGATCAAATATAAAGAAATTTAAAATAGGCTTAAAATATCTAACCAAGTCAATAACAATCCTCTAACACCAGTGTCATCATGCTATACGAACAACAGTGGCAGCTTCACGTTCCTGAGATTACCACGAATCCATCGATACCAAGTTTGTCCTGCTCCATGACTGGGAAGGAGCTGATAGCCACACAGAGTGAACCTGTTTTTACTGCGAGGTCCGCGAATTAATTGGCGGCGGCCGCCCGCGATAATAATTCTGACTAATATATATATATTAATTAGTGTTTTCACTGATAACACTAATTAATTTATATTTGATCTTGACGGTCAAACTAAAGGCGTTTAACACTGAACACCTAACATGAATGCAGCTTCTGAGAGCTAGCTATTATCAGCTAAAACTGTGTTCTGCTACTGCTGCTCACCATCCTTCTACTTGCTTCTGTTCAAAAACTTTTCCTCCTTCTCCTTCTTTTCTTTTATTTTCTTTTCTGGAAGCCAGATTTCCCTTTCTTGGGAAAAGACATGACTGACTCTCCTGCCTCCAGCTCTGGCTGTCGGCATCTGCGATATCTCATAGCTGTACATGCGGCCGTGCAACCCCTGGCCGCTGGTGTGGACTAAACCACTTTGCACATTTTTAAGGGGTGATAGATGCCTCAGAGATTATTCAGTTATTATTTTAAGGCGAAATTCTGTTTCTTAACCTCTTTATCCAGGTAAAGGGAAGTTTATTAAGACATTAAGTAAGTTGGGGGGAAAAACAACAACACTAAAACATTTTTATTCAAAGCTGTCTCAGGGCCCCTCCCTGCAGTGGGCCCTGGGTAAACAGTACCCCCCCCCCCCCCCCCCCCCCCCCAGTCCGAGGCCCCTGGGGCTAACACATCACGTTGTTTCTTAGCATCCACTGTGGGGTTCCTAGCTCTGCTTGCCGAAACTGACTGAAGGGCTCCCTCACTTCGCCATGTGCCACTGACCAGCTGATGGTTTGCATCTTCAGAATCCACATAGCCAGGTGGTGTGTAGGCATCTGATCTCTGTTGTCGGAGGAAGTTGTGGAGACAAAGTGTTGCAAAAACAATTGCAACAACTTTGTCTGGATGCAGGCAAATTGTGGTTCTGAAAACGCGAAAGCGATTGGCCAGAATTCCAAATGCGTTCTCAACAACACGGCGTGCTCTGGAAAGCCTGTAGTTGAAAATCCTTTGATCATGGTTGAGGTTTCGTGATGGATATGGTTTCATCAGATCTGGCCTAAGGGGATATGCTTCGTCACCAATGAGCACATATGGTATTGTGGAGTCAGTGCCTAGCAGGGTTGCATCAGGAGGGACATTCAGAGTGCCTTTGTCCATAGCCTCTCTGAGATCAGAATGGGCAAACACTCCAGCATCAGATGCCCTTCCTTGTGTCCCTGCACTTGCATATACAAATCTATAATTTGCGTCAACTACAGCCATAAGTATGATGGAAAACCTTGACTTGTAATTATAAAACGTGCTTCCACTGTTGGCAGGGGGTTGAATGAAGATGTGTTTCCCATCTATGGCCCCTATGCAATGTGGAAAATGCCACTTGTCTTCAAAGTCTTTAGCGATGACCTTCCACTCAGTCTCAGCTGATGGTGTCTGTGGAAGAAGTACATGGTGATACATTATATTAGTCTCAGGTTTAATCAGGACTGCACTTGCAAATTAGCTTCTAGCTAAATCTGGTGCAATGCATCACATTTGACTATCACTCAACAGGTTCATAATCCTCAGAATGTAAACCCACTTCAATAACAATTTTTACATTCCAACTGTATGTGCATGAATCTGTGATGTGCCACATGCCACTCTGTTACTCGAGGGTCCTTATCAAGCATGTTTTACAGTTTTTACTGATCAAACACACCAGATTTACATCAGCAGGTGAATAAATTGCTTCTGCACAGCGTGATGGGTGGATGCGCTGTTTTAGGGCAGGGAAAAAATTACCTTTAGGTAATCGTCACGTAATACTAGAGTCATGGCTGCACAGGTTTCCATCACAATGCGGCTCAGTGTGGTGCTCCCAATCCTGAACTGGAAAGATAAGGAATTGAAGGTCTCACCTGTAAAGATTAAGAAAGTGTTTCATAATGTGTAAACTTGATTTGGATGTGTGTGTGTGTGTATATATTCTTGCCTGTTGCAAGGAATCTCAGTGTCACAGAGAGCCTCTCCCTAGGACTGATCGCCTTCCTCAGGTGTGTGTCTCAGGTGTGTGTGATGATTTGAGGGGCCACTCTCTCCAGAAGGTCGTTGAATTCTTCCACAGACATGCGGAGAAGGTCCCGAAACCCCTTCATATCATCGCTCTATTTCACACATCATTGCAACAGCATTACAAATGGCGGTTGTCACTCCACCCACCACCCCAAAGTCCATCAGCTGGTCAAAATGTAATTTAAGTCAATAGATACAATTGTAGTTACATAAAGAAAAGGTTATTTCAAACATCTTACCTCCAACTCCCGCTGTAGATTTGACAAACCATACTGGCAACATCTGCCCAGCCATTTCTTTGTCCACATTCGTCTTCTCTTTTTCTTTTCATCGACACACATGATGGCAAGAAGAGCCAAAGACAAACGTCTTGTTTTCACGAGCATTATTGCGGTTAACAGCGAGCAAGCAAGCGCTTTTCTGCTCGGAACCGAACTGGTTTTCCCTCGTTTTTACTTCCGGGGTTTTCTTCTTCGTGTTTGTAATTCCAACATCTACTGGCTAATTTTTAGCTGCGGTAGTTCATGCCACTCGTACAGTGTGAGCAGTCAGGTCACATGCGAGAACTGGGTCGTGCAGTGTGAGCACGACTCGTGAGATCTGCTCGGCGAGGAAGTCGTACAGTTTGAGCTGAAGCTGAGTGCTACGAGTGAAAAAGTCGCACAGTGTACGCCCGGCTTAACCACCGCAGCATTTCATCCAACTTCGCCGTCCAGCTCTGATTTTTCTTTGTCTTCGCTCTTCATCACGTATTTTTTGCTTGTGTTTTCAGGCGTTTCTGGTGTCGCGCTCTCATCGTTGATTGGACCAAATTGCACAGCAGACAGAAGCGTGCCTGTGCGTTGCAGCCAATAGGCATCTAAAACGTCACAAATAGCACACGGTTTACGGTAGTGTCGTTGTAAGGTTTTGGCCCAGACAGAGCCTCTGCCTTGTTACTCACTCAGGATGTTACCAGCTGTTTGTCAACAGAAGAAAAAGCAAGAGTCCAGGATGTTGCTGAGCTCTGACTTTTTATCCTTTTTTTTTAATGCAAACAATCCATGACATTGGGGCATGGATTCCCCTTAACAAGCAATCAACTAGCCTGGAAAGCCACGTAGACCAAACTTTGCAAAGCAAGAATTTGGTCTAGTTCACTAGGCTAGCAATCAACCACAACAGTACCGAATCCACCCTTTTTAAAGCTAACTTGGAACCAGCCATTATGACATGGGCAGGGGAAACATTAGCTTCAAATCCTGCAATCAATAAAGTACATCTCAACACCTCAACAAAATATGTCAAACAATCTATTTACATATTTACCTACTACCTTAACTCAAAAGAACAAAAACAAGAACAACTACACTTAAACAAACACAAGATAACCCCCCCTCTCTTCAGTCAGTTAGTTTCTCCCTCAGTAGAGCTGATTAAGCACACCAGGAACTGATCATGGCTGCCTATGGGCGCGCTTCCATGGCAACACTTAAACAAATGACCTCAGAAAGAAGGGAGTGATGAACACCAATAGATCAACTTAACTTAAAGTAATTTATAGATTACCAAGCATATTTGACCTAAAACACACAAAAATACAGGAGTAAACAAACAAGAGGAATAACTATTAGTGAGGAGATAAATCCCTCACAGTCGTGACTCGTCTTCGAGGAGGGGAGGAGGGGGCAAACGACCCAGAGCGTCTCTGACATGAATTGCTTGGTTGCCTCCGAATCACCGGCCAAACTGGCTAGTAATATTTTAACAGTACCCGCCAAAACGATTTGCAGTTGCCCGCTATGCCCTATGGTCAGTCCAGCACTGGCTGCACATAAACTGTCAGTCAGAAGCTCTGCTAGCCGGTTATCTTAGAGGAGCTAGCTCAATTTGTTAGCTTGTTATCAGAATCATAGTTGCAGTTTCATCATCTGAGCTGCTTTTTAAGATCTAGGTAAACTTGTTCAATTTGGGGTCAAAAACAAACGTTTTCACATATTTTCCATGCAGTTTTTTTGCCAGTTCCTCTTCTGACAGGTAGACAATTGTTTTTCTCTTTCCCTCAGAAAATCTTAATATTCTCCTAGTTTGGCCCAGCACAGATCACTTCCCAATTACAGCAACAGCCTTATATCATAACCACATAAGTGGAGAAAATGTTCAGTAGCAATGAGAGAATTTGCTGTTGCATTTAAGTGATGTTAACTATTATTTAACATTTAAACTTATTTTCTGATTATTTTTTTTTATTTACTCAAAAACCCTGGTAAGGGATGTTTTTCTGTATTTGGAGCATCAGAAAAAGTTTTATGGTGGTGGTGATGTTTTTAAGTCACTGAGAAACTGCATGCATGCAGTTTGTTGTTTTGCTGCTAATACAGTAGCAGGTGCAGCTGCATATTTTTGCACAAAAAATGTTATGTTGTAATGGAATTCATGCATTAGTTTTTGTTTGCTTTAAACCCAGAGCAGCCGTCACACACCAGACGACATCAACACTGCATACTTTAGTATTTGTTCATTTATCGTGAGTAATATCGATATCACAATATTAAGCACTGTTATCGAATATCGCAGGTTTTCCTAATATCGTGCAGCCCTAATGTGAGTTCTCATGTGTGTAGTAAAGTGACCACTGAGTCTAAAACATTTACCACAAGTTTTACATGAATATGGCTTCTCACCTGTGTGAGTTCTCATGTGTGTAGTCAAGGAACTACTGTCAATAAAACATTTACCACAAGTTTTACATGGATATGGCTTCTCACCTGTGTGAATTCTCATGTGATAAATCAAAGCAGCACTCTGTGAGAAACATTTACCACAACTTTTACAATGAAATGGCTTCTCACCTGTGTGAGTTCTCATGTGTGTATTCAAGGGACTACTGTCACTAAAACATTTACTACAAATTTTACATGGATATGGCTTCTCACCTGTGTGAATTCTCATGTGTTTAGTCAAGGAACCACTGCCACTAAAACATTTACCACAAGTTTTACATGAAAATGGCTTCTCACCTGTGTGAGTTCTCATGTGTTTAGTCAAGGAACTACTGTCACTAAAACATTTACCACAAGTTTTACATGAAAATGGCTTCTCACCTGTGTGAGTTCTCATGTGTTTAGTCAAGGAACTACTGTCACTAAAACATTTACCACAAGTTTTACATGAAAATGGCTTCTCACCTGTGTGAGTTCTCATGTGTTTAGTCAAGGAACTACTGACATTAAAACATTTACCACAAGTTTCACATGGATATGGCTTCTGACCTGTGTGAATTCTCATGTGTTTAGTCAAGGAACTACTGACATTAAAACATTTACCACAAGTTTCACATGGATATGGCTTCTCACCTGTGTGAATTCTCATGTGTTTAGTCAAGGAACTACTGACATTAAAACATTTACCACAAGTTTTACATGGATATGGCTTCTCACCTGTGTGAGCCCTCTTGTGCCTTTTTTGTTTTTTATCATCTACACTGTCTCTGTGATCTTTGGATTGGCATATTTTATTACGTGTCAGTTCTTCATTGCTGTTTGATTCTGAGTTTTCTTTCCTGCATCCACCCTGATCTTGGTTCTCAGCTTCTGTAGTACTCTGACACAAGGGTTGGTTCTTGTTTGGTTCTGGTTCATGACAGTCTGTTTCTTCAGAAGGAGAAGGCTCCATGAAGGTAACAACTTCCTGCTTCAGAAGAAACTGCCCTTCATGCTGATGGATAAGGAGTTCTTGTTGTTCCTCTTTCATCAGTGGAGGTTCTGGTTCCTTCTGGTCCAAACTGGAGGTCCATTTCTGTTTAGAGAGCTGCTGGTCAGTCAGAGTCATCTTGTTTTCCCAGACATGATGCTGTGGAAGTTCTGGACAGGATAAAAGACAAAACAAAATGTAGATTAATGTGAATAAAAAAAAAATCTCTCGTGTTTGGACAAAGCTTCTCATTCAACGTGTTTTCTTTATTTTCATGACCATTTATATCAGGCGATTCTAAATGAAGGCATTAAAATTATGAATGAATACATGTGGAGTTATGTACTTAACCAAAACGGTGAAATAACTGAAAATATGTTTTATATTCTATTTTCTTCAAAATAGTCACCCTTTGCTCTGATTACTGCTTTGCACACTCTTGGCATTCTCTTGATGATCTTCAAGAGGGAGTCACCTGAAAAATGTCTTAAAGGAGTTCCCAGAGGTGTTTAGCACTTGTTGGCCCCTTTGTAAGTGGTCATGAAAATAAAGAAAACATATTGAATGAGAAGGTATGTATATATATATATATATATATATATATATATATATATATATATATATATATATATATTAGGGCCGGGACTTTAACGCGTTAATTACGATTAATTAATTAGAACAAAATAACGCGTAAAAAAAATTAACGCATTTAATCGCAGCTTGCATTTCAAGCACGGCGGAACCTTTGTCATTGCACGATTTCCTCATAGACTGAATATCACTGACGCACACAACAATGCACAGTGCTAATGGCTACTAAAACGGAATAAAAACAGAAAGAAGTTGCCTTGCTTGGACTGATGCAGGATTTAGGAAACACGTCCGCCTCTTTTCTTAACTTGGATAAAAAAACTTCCAGACAACAACGGAGTCCGTGTCGCGGAAATTTTTCAGAGATCGTCTCTGCTGCGGCTGCCCGGTGGCACGGGAAACTTGACGAAAGTTGCGGTAAGCTATATTTTTAACATTTACATAACATCTGTGCAGCACTGAAAGCACCAGACAGAATAATTCTGTGCCCTAACAGTAGTTTATGAAAGTAGTAAGACAAACGAGAGGCACTTGGCTGCCGCTGGGAGAACGCTCCGTGTCCTCACTACTCTGATCACAGACATGTCTTAAAGTTGATAACAGAAGTTTAAGTTAAAACAGAAACACTCTGAAACTTTTCTGATGATTTTCTAAACAATTCTGTCGAGGAATTATACGTTTCTGAGACGAGTCACTGTCTAAACATCACATGCATTACTATCATTAAGCAGCGAGGTGTGTTGAAGCTGTCATCAGCTAAGGGGTGGATGCTTAAGTGAATCAGGGGCAGCGAGGAACGAGGAAGTTGTGATCAGGCTGGAGATCACACCAGATTCGCTGCAGCAGGCCTGAATCTGTGGGTGTGCAGCATCCCCTTCTTAACGTGACAGCAGGACTTCCCATGTAAGGAAGGTCCGCTCACCTGTTCGTCAGATCATTATTTCCTCGCCGTGATCTTTTATCATCCCATCAACCTCCAGTCATCCAACTGGAACCAGTTAGTGTTCCTGATCATTCTCAGAATATGCCATGCCTGCTCTGGTGTTAAAAGTTAGTACATTTAAGTCCTAGATCATATTTGTTCATGTTCTACTGTCATTTTGAAGGATTATTATTTATGTGTTTTTATTACATTATGAGTAGAAATGCTAATAAAAACTCCCAATTATACAAACAAGTGAAACTGGAAAAATTAGAATCTGGTGCAAAGTCAAACTTATTTCAGTAATTCAACTAGACAGAGAGACTATTTAAAGGCTCAGGAACCCTTTGCAGGTGTTTTCTATTTGTAATTATAAATTCTAGTTGATTTGGGTTTTGTTTCATATCACACAGTGACATTTGAATAATTAAAATGCATTTTATTATTAGAAGCTTTAGTTTACAGTAATAACCATGTCTAATGTTTGATTCTCTGTCTCATAATTTTAATTAAAAGTTTTACTTTGAGAGCACATTTTCCTGAACGATTAAAATGCGATTAATTTAGATTAATTAATTACAAAGCCTGTAATTAATTAGATTAAAAATTTTTAATCAAATCCCAGCCCTAATATATATATATATATATATATATATATATATATATATATATATATATATATATATATATATATATATATATATATATATTGTAGCGTCACAAAATGTCCTGTTTTTGGCCTGAAAGGTCATGCTCTGCTGTCTGCTCAAGCGGAGACGTGATGTCTCCGTCGGGAGGCCTAATCTACATGAGATATTGGCCCAAGGCCTTTCAGGTCCTCTGCTCATCTAAACTGCTTCACCTCCTTACAGCTCAAGACTAGACGGAGAACTCTTTTGATGAATACAAAATCAAACAACGTTAGTTATTGCAAATTATAATGTGAATCAGATATTCAATCATTTTGTGAAATGACAATGTATTACTTGATATTATAATCCTGTGATCAGTAGTTGTTTCGTGCCGTGTCCCTTTTCGGCCACAAGATGGCCTCAGTGGCCTTTGTCTCGCCCGTCTCCCGGTGCCCAGCTGTTCCAAATCATTGATGATCACCTGGCAGCAGTTAAGAGCTGCTCCCAGCCACCAGTTCGAGGAGAAGGTCAAGGGTAGTGTAGACTGGGAACAGTTTATACTATTCTCTTCTCCTCGGTTTGCTTTTGGTACAACTCGGTTCACTCGCTAGTCTTCGATTTGCTCTCAATAGGATTTCGGATTAGACCATTTGGCGTATAGACTTCGGACCGGCTTTAGACCCTGACCACGGATCTCCCCTTTTGAATATATATATTTATTATTCTCGGTTTCCTTCCCACCCCCTTCTGGGGTGGCGTTTTCAGTTTCTCCCTTTTTAAATATAGCTCCTTTTGTTTTGTATATAGCATTGTTTTTTGGATTCTTTGTAAATATTCCATTCATTTTGTAATAAATCCCTTGTTTTTTAGCGACATAGCACTCTGTTATTATTTATCCCACACACTAATTTTACTACTCCCCTCCTCATCTCTCCTAGAGAGCCGGGGACATAATAGTAGTACTTAATTATAATTTTGGACAGCTGCACTAGACACATTGACATAGAGTTATGTTAAGTCACATTTCACATTTCCTTTTGTCTGATACAATCAGAACCTACATTTCTGATGTAAGGCATGGTTTTCTGTGGTGTCTGTATAAGCCCTCTTTTGCATGTCAAATTCTGATTCGCCAGTAAACCAAAATATGACATTTATAAAAACTATCCCCACGTCACCTTTACTTCAGTTCAAAGCGTTCTAGAGAAGTTTTGGACAGGCCATCCGGAACCTTTACAACCACAAGAACCTTGACAAGCTGGATAAAATCTGTTGCACGTTACACCTGACCGCAGCGGTTCCTTCAGAATAAAAGCTGAACCTCACGACCCCTTCAGGGTCTCGCTGACGCCAATAATAACCTGTCGTGACCTGGAAGAATTCCAAGACTAGTCTGGTTGGCACTGCTGCTCTCTCTAACGGCTTCGGTACCAAGGAAGGTCCACGGACCTCGACATTCTGGATCTGAACGGAGGCTTCGCCTGTGGGTACGTAGACCGACAGATGGCGTTTAATGTGTTTTATAAATCACCAACCGTAGTTTAGAGCAAAACATTCGCTCCCACTCAGAACTAATTGCTTCTCCGGATACGAGAGTTCTGAAAACAACATTCCACACATACACCATTCATCTCACGTCTCATTCAACTCAATTCAAAAATACTTTATTAATCCCAGAGGGAAATTGATTAACTCCACCTAGATTAATTGATTAATTCCACCTAGTTTCATCAGTACACAGAGTGTTTACAGTTAGACTTGTTTAAAGTGTGTATAAATAAATTTCTTAACTATTATAAACCTGACTCTCTCTCTTTTATCTGAGTTAATAGAAAGTGTCCAGTAATCACTGCAATAAAAAGTTCTGATCTTCTGGTTAAAATATTCAAAGATCTATCAGACTGATATTTCATATTTCTATGGAATCTCACATTTTATGGTTCACAAGTAAGATGTAAACTACCCATCATTACTATATATAAATATATATATATATATATATACACACACACACACACACACACACACACACAAGCGCTGTTTATTCTTAGCTGTCAGCAGTGCTATGCAGCAGAACCGCCAGTCAGGTTGCTGCTTCAAGTCTGCTCCATGCAGTGTGCAGGTATATAGCAAGCCACTGTAGCATTTAATTTGCAACCATGTCTATTTTCAAAAATTATTTAAAACATATTACTGCTAATCTGTACATAATAGATATGTCACCATTCCAATTTAGTAGTAAAAATTAAATGTTTAAGCATTTCCAGTACCACTGAATATCTTAGCCCTTTGAGACCGGCAGGAGCGCCGGCGCTCCCATTTGCATATCTGTGTTCAAATGCTTGTAGAATTGAAATTATATAATTTATTTATTTTTTGCATATTAAACCGGAGGATTTACACTAATATCTCCCATGCTAAACATGTCCCAGAGCGTTGTGCTTTTTTGCAATAATACATTTAGACAAACACATCCTACACACATCACACACCTACTACAAACTCCCAACACACGCACACCATTACAAACGTTTAGACATATGATGGACCTACCAAATGGTGCATCCTCCCTCCTCGAAGCAGTTGACGCCATTACAGCACTGGGTGATTAAGTTTCAGTTTCTGTTTCCTCACGTATATATTAATGCAATAATCTTTAATATTGTTATTATTATTAGTGAGAGATTAGGAAAACTTTATACTCCTGAAAAATTAGCTACAAATAGTTTATTTAAATGAGTGTATCTCAGAAACTAATTTATAAAAGCACTTCAAACAAATTTGTTGTTGTTTGAAAGGATTGTGTGAAACTTTTTGCCATTGACAATTTTGAGGGATAAAGGTGTGGCATTTCTATATAATGAAAAATATGTGTAAAAACAAAAAACGATTTTCAATTTGTGTATGGATAATAGCATTTTTTAGTGAAATATTTAGTTGCTATGAACATTTTATATTTATATTATTAAAATTTAGAATCTAAGGTTGTATTGATGTATACCAAGTTGAAATACTCCAAAAAAAT